TGGTGAGGGGTAGTTTCTGGAGCAATATAAGTATATCAACCTTAACCAAGAATCCTGAATATCGACATAATCTAACGGCACATTTTGTATTATAATTTATAGACAGTTTTTATCTTACCTGTAAGGATATGAATCCCACCACATCCCGTGTACAGATGTGTCATTGATCGGTAATAGCTGAACTAAATGGAAACCTGACTCGACTGCCCAATCCACTAGCAACTTCAAATCGAGAAACTCCCCGACTCCCATGTCAGCATCCGATCTTACGGAAAACATTGGGATTGCTACACCAGCACCCCTCCAAGGCATTTCCTATCAAATATATATATAATAGCAGCTATCGAGTGAAATAATAATTTGAAGGATTAATTGCAACAAGTACCCTAGAGGTCTAGTCTGATGCTGAAATGAGAAAAGATAAATAAAAAAATAAAAGAAAAAGAAAAAAGAATGGCGGTTCTTCAAATATTACAAATACAAATACTCCCCTTGATATTTATTTCTATTTTATAGCATTATTTCCCACTAAGGAGAATTTATTAGGAAGATGTGAAGCTCAAGGAGATTGTGTAAAGATGAGTGAGTTTTTTCTTCTTCTCTTTTTTCTTGGATCGTGTACACGAATATCCAAAAATTTATGCAAAACTTATATAGATAGTTTACCCGCATTAATCCATCCGAGAGGACAATGTATTTAGGTTGACTAGCTGAGAAGTCGACTGAGAGTTCCCTATTACCACCAGTCTCCATAGCAAGTTCCTTGGCTTTGCTATACTTGCAGTATCTGTATGTAAAACCATAGCTAAGGAGAAAAAGTTCCGAAAATTCTCACATTCACCCAAATTATACTCAATTTAAGGATATTTTATGGGAAATTCATTCTTTCTCAATGTAGCTTCAGCTTGCCAAACTGAATCGCCAGCATAAACAAGTTTCAGTCCATTCTCAACCTTCCATCCTCCCAGCTTTGGTGGACTACCAATCACATAAATCTACCAATATTCGTAAAGGAAAAAATGAATGAGACAAAAAAAAAAAAAA